TGTTGTTGTTGTTGTTGTTGTTGTTGTTGTTGTTGTTGTTGTTGTTGTTGTTGTTGTTGTTGTTGTTGTTGTTGTTGTTGTTGTTGTTGTTGTTGTTGTTGTTGTTGTTGTTGTTGTTGTTGTTGTTGTTGTTGAATATTGAAATTTGTAGCAATAAAGTCTGTATAATTTCTTATCAAAACATATAATAGGTGCAAAACCACTATAAAATATTTTACAATAATTGTACAATATATATAAATATTAAAGCAAAATTATATTTTATACAAATATTTTTTATTTGTATTAGATAATTAATATTATATACTGTAATATATTTATAAAAAATATTAGATATTTATAAATATAAGCATTGTTAAATATTTATTTATTAAAAATATTTGATATTCAAAGTTTTATATTATTGAAAATAACTTATTTAAAGAATTGCTATTTTTTATATAATTTGATTGGTCTCTAATATTTCTAACTCTAATATTAATTAGAGGTAGATAATGTAAGGATGGTATTAGCAAAAATAAAGAGGTAACAATAGCAATACTTACTGTTATATTAAATTATACTTTATAAAAATATTATAAATAAAGTAACTTGTCAATACTATTCTATTTTTGTTAATATCACCCTCTGCATAGCTTTAATTGACCATTAACCCTTCCAAAAACTCTATGAACAATGCCTACCTAACTGCTAAATAATTAATCACATAAAATCACACTGTTTCTAAATACTATTTGTAGAATTTTCAGGATTTTAGGCTATAGGGGTGGCATTAACAAAAATGAAGGTGACATTAACAGTCCTTTAAATAAATTTCTTTTTAATTTTGTTAAATTTATTTATTATTTTTATTAAATTTATTTATTAATTTTTTATTAATTTTGTTATCTTTTGTTATATTGTTACCTTTTATCAGTTTTGTTACCTTTTGTCAGTTTTGTCACCTTTTGTTATATTGTTATCTTTTATCAGTTTTGTTACCTTTTGTCAGTTTTGTCACCTTTTGTTATTTCGTCATTTTAAAATTTTTTGACAAAACCTTTAGGTTTTTTCTAACAACATTACTGTTGACACATCAGTAATGCTACCAATAAATTTTCGCTTAGACGTATCCAACTGCACATGATGTAACTATTTTATTGTTAATTGTGAGTAATTAATATCTGATATGCACGTAAACAAATATATGCTCCTATTTTTAATAATTAAACAGTTAATATAGAGTTAAGGAAGTTCAGTAAGAATTTTGGGTTTAACATACCGGGTCCATGTTATTCTTGACCAAAAACTTTTTCGGTATTATTTTTTTTTATCGCTCTACTACATAATCCCATCTTATATACTAATACAATAGTAAGAAAACTCTTTTTAAAAGCGGGCAGAAATTAAATTTGATTGCAGAAACTGCATTATGAAATTTCTTTAAAAAATTACAATCGTCATCAAAAAGCTGGCATGCAAATCGTAGTGCAAGCTATTTTGGCTCTAAAATTTTTAGTTAAAAATAAATGATTATATTTATAATTTGTGATTTTTATCATTAAATTTGGTAAATATATAAAATAATATTACATTCATCACTTGGGTTTATTTTCTTAATATGATTTTGACGTTTGCGACGATCTTGTCTTTGTTGGTTCATTATTCGATAACCCGTTCTTGAAGGTGTCTTAAAAGCTAATCTTCTTTAAGTATCATTCTTATAACCGTTTGTTCAGGTGTATAAATTCTTTTACGTTTTTACGCTTTAATATTATAAATTATTAATTAGTTAGCTTTAGTGAAGCTTATTTTAAAGATCTTTTAATGATTAACATTTTTAATCAGACTTTTAATTGAAATTTTTACGGGGGATGGAAATAGGCCAAATACGTATATATCAACATTACAGCGGTGGGAACCGGACATTGTCTCAAATTAGTAGAGTATGGAAGGGTCTTCCGCTCCGCTCCCCTCCAATTAGCCTACTAGTAATAAAACGGCGACGTTTCATAGGGCTGGAGCCTTACTTATGAGGTACTTAAACTTGAAAATAAATTAACTTATATTATCATTTCATTAAATAGTTTATATATAGTAGGGGTGGCAAATGTTTTTTATTACGTAATTAAAAACAGGTGAAGATAAATTAAAATCCGGTGTGCATTATTTAATTAAATATTCGGACTTTAATTATCACAGGTTTTAAACAGGTGAAAAAATGGTTTAAACTGTTTTTTTACCATCCCTAATATATATAGTAAAATTTACTTTGTTGGTAGTTAAGCATAAGCGGAAATTTACAGATAAAGTATAACTACCGTATCGGCCGCTTACTACCAATAAATTTTCGCTTGTACTTATCCAACTACACATGATGTAACTGGCTTATTGTTAAATGTAAGTAATTACGTAATATGCACGTGAACAAATAAATGCTCCAATTTTTAATCATTAAACAGTTGCATAGGAAAATTTTATGCAATGCAATAAACATTTCATTAGCATGATGAGTTAAGGAGTTCAGAAAGATTTTTTTTTTTAACATACCGAAATCTATCTTATCTACTAATACAATAGTAAGAAAGCTCTCTTTACAAAGCGGACAGAAATTAAATTTGATTGCAGAAACTGCATTATGAAATTTCTTTAAACGTAGTGACAAGCTATTTTGATTCGACAATTTTTACTATTTTTTGTATGAAATTATTAAGAGGAATCATTACTTCTTATAAATATTTCTTTTAAAGAATGATTTCATATATATATTATAATTTTATTAATTGAAACTATTTATTTTACGAAATACGCTTATCCAGCTAGTAAATGTCCAAGTGGAACAAAATTTCCTATTGTTGCAAGATCAGGGGATCATTCTTATGAAAATTATGGACTTGGAGATAAAGATTGTTATTTAGTTATTGATGTTCGTTACTTCAATAAAGTTACCGTCGATGTAACTTCACAAACTGCAATAATCGGACACTAGATTCACTATATTACGGTGTAGTCCAATATGGATTTGCATTTCCAGCTGGTGGTTGTCTTATATTGGAGTTGGTGGACATATAACGGGTGGTATAAACATTTCTTGAAAATTTTCATCATATATTTCCTATTTTTGTTTTAAGCTACAAAAATTATAAACCTCAATTTTATTTATTTTATTTTATTTATTTATTTTTACAGGGTATGGGATTTCTTGTTCGAAAATTTGGATATTCATTAGATAATCTTCTTGATGTACAAATGGTTTTAGCAAATGGGACTATAATTAACAGTATTAAAGAACACACCGAGCTTTTTTGAGCCATTCGAGGAGCAGGAAATGCAGGCTATGGTATTACTACAACTTTCACCCTCAAGGTATGTCCTATCCAGAAGATCGTAACTCAATTTAATTATACCTATGATTTGGACCAGGTTCCAACAATTCTCACAGTAATAAATCAATTGGGAAATAGTTATTTTCCTCATAATATGAGTTTCGCAATGCCATTCACTAAACTCCCAAGATGCAATGTCCATGTTTTGGGATTTATTTAGGAATAACAATTGAATTGCAAACTCATATACAAGACTTTATTAAATTGTCTAAACCTAAACATGCAACACATACTGAAGGAAGTTACTACGACTTAGTTACTAATATCTCAGAATCAATTAAAATTCCAGGAGATTTTAGAGTAAAGTAATTCTTTATGAATCATGGTGGGTTATCTTATGAAGGAGCTAAATAACTAGTGAAACTTGTCGAAAGCTTCAAGTGTAATGTGAGAATTGAGATGTTACTACTTGGTGGAAGAGTTAATGAGGTTAAGAGAAACGAAACAACTTTCATCCACAGAGATTTTATGAACCATATGGGAATGAAAGCGGAAAAGGTTACTGAGGAGTGTTTATTGGATATAGAAGTTTTTTCAAACCATTTTCAAAAGTACACCAATTCCCAAAGTTACCAAATTTAATTGATGGTCAGTTGGATAATTGGAAATGTAGATATTATGAAGAAGGTTTTGGAAAACTGGTGGCAATTAAACGAAAATATGATAATGTATTTCGTTGGAAACAAAGTATACCTACTAATACTGACATCTCATGTTATTAAGATAGATGTTATTAATGTGAGATATTATTAATGTTAGATGTACTATGCTTAATTTCATGTAAACTTATGAGTTGTTTTTTATTGTGCCTTGTTGAGAATTTAATATATTGAGTTGTAGAATAGATTATAATATTGGGATTTTGGAAATTAATTTATACTAACAATAATCCCGATAGTTGTTTATAATTTATTACACCAAATAAAAAACATACAGGTCAAGTAAAATTGCCAACAAAATAGATTATTTATTTACATCTTGTAATGATTAATGCTCTAATGATTCTTTGAAATAATCATTCAATTCAAAATAAAAAGCATTTAAAAAAAGCATCACAAAAAGCATTCACATTACTTTAGAACCTAATAAAAATTAACAGCAACATTAAAAATCTTGTTACTATCAATGCTTTACATGACAAATTGATAAAATTGATGCATAAAATTTGTATAAATTTGTATACTATTCTATAAATCTTTACCGATTGATAGGATTAAGACAATTGAGGACAATTAAGATTGAAGACAATTAAGACAATTGAGACACATGAATGAATAATCGATATAAATTGAAAGATTTATAATTTCCAAGCTAAATTTAACAGAAGCCAAATTACTGCATAGTAGATTTTCTAAAAACTTGAAAAACCTCAAAATCATCAACAGAAAAAATATCAGAGCTTTGTCGAATTGATTTTTCATAACTCCCTTTTCTACATCTACTTTTCTCGTTTTCCTTTGTTTCACCACAAATCTTTAAATCATTTTTTCCAAAACCTGGACCCGTGTATCTATTTTGTCTAATTGCATGCTCAGTGTCAATTACTTTACTAACTATTGAATCATCTGGATCTTGAAGGTTTAAAGAAAATATAAAGCTTGTTGAAGCGGAATGATACGTATTTTTTGATGTTGCTTTACACCAATCGATTGGGTTATAACCACCAATAATTTCGCCAGTATCTTTAATACGGATAATAACTAAAGTTGGTCCCTTATTATCACAGCGAGCATGAAATTTTTTGGAATTAGAGCCATGTCTTGAAGCACGTTGTAGTAAATTGAAGGTATAAAAAGTACTTGGATTTAAATTGTATATTTCATTAATCCATTTTACTATCAATACAATATGTTTTTGTTCAATTAAAGTTGATTGAATTGTGAGTTGTCGTGTAGAAGGAACTACAGAGGTAGGTGCAGAAGTAGATGTGGAAGCATGTATGTAAGTAGGAGTGGGAGTAGGCGTGAAAGTAGGTGAAAAAGTAGATGTGGAAGTAGGAGTGAGAGTAGGTGAGGAAGTAGGAGTAGAAGCAGAAGTAATTGTAGCAGAAGCAGAAGTAGATTTTGTAGATTTAAATTCAGTAGTATTTGTTGGTTTAGAAGTTGTAACAGCTGTAATAGCAGTGGAACTGACTCTAGTGGATTCAAAATTGATTTCTACAGATATCGGTAATTTAGCATCTGATGTAAGTGCCGCAGATATTGTAGAAATATTTGAGGGAGAGGGAGTTTTAGTTGCAGTGTTTGATTCTTGAAATTCATCAAATGCATGTGTGTCTAAAAGTTGAATATAAAAATCGGGATCAAAAGCTTGACGGAATGGGCGAATGTTTTGACTAAAATCTGTTTTGCTAATATATTTAAATTTAATATATTGAATGAATGGTTTGATCAATTTTTTTAAAATTGCAAAATGCTCAGTATTATATTGAGAAACATTTGAAGGTAAAGAAGAACTAGAATGTACGGTTGACCATTTAATAAGTTTTTCCCATAATTCAATATCAGTGACATTTTTCGGGCGGTTAATGTAACAATGAAGGAACTCATCTCTTTGAAGTGTAGTAAAATCATTACTGCTGAAAATATTCACATCTTGTGCGATGATTTTTCTCCATAATACTGCTAATCTTGTAAAATTTGCTAATGTTTTTCTATTTCTATTGATGAGAGAAATATGCTTCTTTATAAGGTCTTTTTGACTAACAACGTACGTTTCAATATAATTACATAATTCTTTGAGGCGGAGTTCATGAGCGCCCAATAAAAGAAAAATGATGTCCGAAAAATCTAAATCAGTGAGATCAATAGTACCATCATAAATATATCTAAAAAAAAGAAAAAAAATCTATTTTTTAATAAATTCAAAATAAATCACTGGAAATCACTGAATGGTAATTTTTTTACCTGAAAAGAATTTCGAATAACTCAGGTGTAATATTTGGTTTATCAAATAATATCACCTTTCCAAATTCTATTTTATCTCCATGCTTTGACAATACGTCTTGAAAATAAGGTGAACGAGTTCGCAAAATTAAAGAATGTGCGTAAAAATATGCCTCAGTATTGGGTTTTTCGCCAACTTGAATTGTAATATCGGCAAATTTGGAACTTTCTACAAGATTTTTATAATCGTGGGATAATGCCTTTAATAAAGCGACAGACATATTATTATAGAATATGATGGAAAATTAAAGAAAAATCTGAAACGTTATGAGGGTGAGTTGATGTATACTGTGGTTTTATAACCTTTTTTGACATTGTTTCCTGAATTAAAAGTAGTACATGCTGTAGATTCGATATTGCAAATATAGAGATGATTTTCACAATGTTCATTCATGCGTACGTACGCCTTTGTTAATTTTTTTAGCCTTCTCTGAAACAATAACATCTAATAACCATAACTGATAAAGTACCCATCTATGTAGTACGTATGGTTAAAAAAAGATGTCAATCTAACTTTATGAGTGCGAATAGGTTTAGAGCCAAAACGAAAGGTAGTACATGCGCAAAATATACTTACTGTGCATAAATGCTCTTTTTGATGCATTTATTTATTTAGTAGTCTATTCCATATCGTGAAATTCAACTTTGTCATTAAAAATATCTCCAGAATATACATGTTCCGCTTGCACATTGATTCATTAATAGTCTTTTTAGTCTTATATGTATGCACATATGTTCCTAGCAAAACCATAGACAATAATACTCGCTAGGATATCGATAAAGTTTTTTATTTAATGAGATACAGTGGCATATAACGAATGACTTGGTATAACAAAATTAATCAACGGTAAAATTTTTTATTCTGTTATGCAATTTACAAGTTAGCTACTATATTTTAAACTAAGGTTTCAATATCCAAAATTATACCTGATTTAGGGATTCTAAACTTAAATCAAACCATTTGAACTACATTTCTGAAAATTCGAAGAATATGACTTGAAGGCTTTTGCTTCGCTTTCTTCAGCTCTAGTTAATCCTTCTTTTGAAGCCAATTATGAAAATTTTGAATTTTTGAAAAATTTGGGTTGACAATTTAAAAACGTATTTGTAACCAGTGTAGGAAATTCGATGTTCTCATGTGCTCTGAAAACCTCAAATTTTTAATTTTTTATTAATAAACATATAAAAATTTTTTTTGAGAATATTAAAATCAGTTTGAATTTCCAATAAATACATTTAATATCCTAAAATGTTAAAGGACGTAATGTCATATCACAAATAGATTTATCCTTCAATTAACAACTCAACTAGTATTAAAGTTCTTCGTCATTTTTCAATTTACTTCGCTTCACAAGTACATATATCATTTAAAATTTAAAAGCAACGTACGTTATTTCATAATCGATGAAAATTTATTGCTCAGATAATTTTTTTTTAAAAACCCTTATGTGGCTTACAAGCATAAATAAATTTATATATGAATATTATCATCAATCTTATAGCCTTATTATGAATGTTTATAACCTTATCATAAATGCTTATAACCTTATCATAAATGCTTATAGCCTTATTATAAATGCCTATGGCCTTATCACAAATACTCTGTTATATAAAATTTGAAGCAAAAATAAAAAATTATATATTTTTATATTTATTACATAAAACGCAACCTCATTGTCTTGAATACAGTGAATTATTTCTTTGACAAGAACATGAATTAGTGCTGCAATTGTTCTTTTAATAATGACAATAATTAGGTTTGTTTTTTTATTTCATTTGCATCATCTAGAGATTCTTTGAATAGTTAGCTTTCTCTATGTAAAAGTATATAATTAATTATTATTTGATAAATTGTTTATATTAATTTATACATATTTATACTTTTTTTATATTTTAATATATAAATTCATTTTTTTGTTTCACTAAGTTCTTCAATATTTTGTTTTGAAGATCAAGAAAACCTTAATTAAATCTAGCTTGTCTTAATAAAATTATACTATCTAAGAGGATTATATCAAGTAGAGAATAATCTGAAGTTTCTAGTAGTTCAAAATTATTTGCTAAATACTAATTTTCTAATATTCCAAATTGGTAAACAACTTGATATAAATTATAATTAGATTGATTTTGATTAATTTTGCAAGATAAAGATTAATAGTTTATTTTTGTTTATTAATATTTAAAATATAAATTTTTACTAATTTATTAGGCTTAAAGATTCAATTGTATTTTGTTCTTAAATAAGATTATAATTTTATTGAATATTTAAATAGCTAAATTTTAGATCATTTTATACTTTTTAAATATTAAATTTAAAGATAAATATATGCATTGCCTACTGTGATGTATTTATACATCACATCTATATATATATATAAATTATAATTTGTCTTATAATGACTAAAATAAACTGTGATTTTTTTATTTAATTAGAGTTAGATAAAGTTAGGGTGCAATATAAGAGAAATTTATAGTAAAATTTTGCAAAAATTTTTTTGTTAGAGTACGAAAAATAGTTTCATATTTGAACTTTTGAGTTATAAATAACTTTTGTCAAAATGAATATTTATTTTGAATCTTTCTGATCATGCTATGTTATACCTAATCTTAAAATTTGATTGGTCAATCATCTAAAATATGATATATAAGCATATTACAAATTGTGATATCTAATTAAGTCCAATATTTAATATATTACTAAATATAAATTTTTTAATTTAGTTTTATTTTTAATTTTTTAATTAAAACATATATATTTTATACTTCAGTTTATATAC